CGGGTTTGAGACCCACCTGGGCAACTTGGTGAGAACTCATCTCTACAATAAATCAAAAAAATTAGCCGGGCGTGGTAGCGGGTGCCTGTAGTTCCAGCTAGTTTGAAGGCTGAGGCCGAAGGATCACTAGAGCCCAGCAGGTTGAGGCTGTGGTGACTGGGAGCGTGCCACTGCACTCCAGTTGGGGCGACAGAGTGAAACTCCAACTCAAAAAAAAAAAAAAAGGAACCTGCACTCGTATGTTCATCACAGTACTACTCACAACCGCTAAGTGTCCCTCAGTGGATGACTGGATAAAGAAAACATGACGTATATATACAACGTGTCTCATAGCAACACGGATAGAACTGGAGGTCATTTTTATCTTTTCTTATGTTTAAGTGGATATTATCCATGTTAACTTTTCACTTGGGAAAAGTTTTGAAGATTATGGCCTTTTTAAAAAAAAAATTAAATCAAAGTCACTTATATTTTAGAGTTGTGGGGTGCAAGTGAGGACTTACTACATAAATAAGTTGCACACAGGTGAAGTTTGGGATGCTAGCTCTTCCCCCGATGGTGGACCTGGTACCCAGTATGCTGGGACGTGTCCCCTCCCTTCTCTCACCCTTCCTCCCCTAGCAGTGTCTAGCTTCTGCCGATCCTACCCTTGAGCACGTGGGACCAGCGATCAGGGCCCGCTTGTGAGTGAGAACACATGGTATTCAGTTCTCTGTTTCTGTGATAGCTCACTTGGTATGATGGTCTCCAGCTGCATCCATATTGCTGTGAAGGCGAAGCCCATTATCTTAGGTGAAAGCAGTCAGACCCAGAGAGATGAGCACTGCATGTACTTTTAAGTGGGAGTTAATGTGTAGACATATGGATGTGGAGTGTGGAATGACAGACACTGGAGACTCGGAAGGATGGGGGAGTGAGAGTGGGAAGAGAGATGAGAAAAGACTTAATGGGTACAATGTACATTATTTGAATGATGGTTACACTAAAAGTCCAAACTTCACCTCCACGCAATGTAGCCATGTAGCAAAACTGTACTTGTACCCTTTAAATATATAATATATTTAATAGATAGATGATACATGATACATACATACACACACACACACAAAGATTAGAAGAGCTTTCAGAACTGGGATTTATTTTTTTTTTTTTAGTTAGAGTCTCACTCTGTCGCCCAGACTGGAGTGCAGTGGCCGCTCCTGGCCACCACAGCCTTGACTTGCTGGGCTCAGGTGATCCTTCCACCTCAGCCTTCCAAGTAGCTGGAACTATAGGCGCGTGCTACCACACCCGGCTAATTTTTTGATTTATTGTAGAGACGAGTTCTCACCATGTTGCCCAGGCTGGTCTCGAACCTGCAGGCTCAGGCAATCTCTCGCCTTGACCTCCCAAAGTGCTGGGATTATAGGCATGAGACACCATGCCCGGCAGAACTGGGGTTTATTTTTTTATTTTTTATTTATTTATTTTTTTGAGTTGGAGTCTCACTCTGTCGCCCAGACTGGAGTGCGGTGGCCGCTCCCAGTCACCGCAGCCTCGCCTGCTGGGCTCCGGCGATCCTTCCGCCTCAGCCTTCCAAGTAGCTGGAATTACAGGCATGCGCTACCACGCCCGGCTGATTTTTTGATTTATTGTAGAGATGAGGTCTTGCTGACCAGGCGGATCTCGAACCTGCAGGCTCAGGCAATCCACTCACCTCAGCCTCCCAAAGGCGCGGGATTACAGGCTGCGCCACCGAGCCCGGCTAAATAAACCTTTTTAATATGCTGCTTTTTCAGCCCAGTGAATCTCCATGGAAATTCTAAGCTGAGTTGTCTAGTTAGAAGCAGCCTTCCTCTCTCCTGCCTGATATCCCTCTCTCTTCTCTAAATGATGGTATTTTCTGGCTATCTCTCTCTCGTAACTGTCCTGCAATATACATATCCTTTCTTCCTTTTATTTTTTATTAATTTTTGTTGCAACATCAGGACACATACTAGACTTTCTTCCTTTTAATAACTGAATGGGCCAGGTGTGGTGGTTCATGCCCGTAATCCTAGTGCTTTGGGAGGCTGATGCAGGAGGATTGCTTGAGTCCAGGAGTTAAAGACCAGTGTGGGCAACACGGCAAGATCCTGTCTCTACAAAAAACAAAAAAACTAGTCAGGCATGGTGGTGTGAGCCTGTAGTCTCAGCTACTTGGAAGACTAAGGCAGGAGGATCACTTGAGCCCAGGAGTTTGAAGATGCGGTGAGGTATGCTAGCACTACTGCACTCTAGCCTGGGTGATAGAGCAAGATTCTGTCTCTTAAAAAAAGTAAATAATTGAATGAATTCTTCAAATTTTATCTGAGTAATGCTGCTCAGCTACAGACCACATTGTTCCAGCTTCCCTTGCAGCTAGGTTTGGCCATGATATGTGCAACTTCTGGGTTGTCACTATAGGACACAGTCCCAAGGGAATTATCAAGACACTATTAGCATATCAGAGCATTCTCTCTTCACTCTCTCCACTTTCCCACCCTTGCCCTGCATTTCAGACAACTCACCTGGACTCCCTCCCTTCTTTCCCCACTGGCTGGAATGGACTTTGTGATAACCTGGCTTTGATGATGCAGTTGAGAACGACATGACAGAAGGTGGAGAAACAATGACACAGAGAAATCTTGGAGCAGAATCTCAACATCAACCTGAACTGCTCACCTCTGGACTGTTGACTCAGCAATAAAGATCCTTCTTTTTAAAGTACCAATGTTTCATTATTTTTTCTTATTCTTTTTAACACTATAATTCCACTATGTGCTCATTATAAACACTTCAAACGAAACCAAAAATGTCAAATATAGACGTAGTCTCTGAAACCACATCTGTTGTTGCATAACAAACTTTTTTCACTCAATAAAGTAACACTAACTGTAAATTTAGCTCTCCCACATTCCTTTTAATAGCTGCATAGCATTCCACAAATACTTTTTTCAAGCATTTCCTTTATTGGGGGATAATTGTTTTATTTGTAATTTTCTTTAATAAATATTTTGGTAGAAATATCTCTGTCCCGGCTGGGCTCAGTGGCTCAGTCTGTAATCCCAGTGCTTTGGGAGGCTGAGGTGAGTAGATTGCCTGAGCCTGTGGGTTTGAGACCTGCCTGGGCAACTTGGCGAGACCTCATCGCTACAATAAATCAAAAAAATTAGCTGGGTGTGGTAGAGTGTGCCTGTTGCTCCAGCTACTTGGAAGGCTGAAGCGGAAGGATCACCAGACCCCAGCAGGTCGAGGCTGCGGTGGCCAGGAGTGTGCCACTGCACTCCAGTCTGGGTGATGGAGTGAGACTCCAACTCAAAAAAAACAAACTTTCCCCTCACGAAAGTATTTTTTTAAAGATCCATCTTTTTATTTATTTTTATTTTTATTTTTTTGAGTTGGAGTCTCACTCTGTCACCCAGACTGGAGTACAGTGGCTTGCTCACGGCCACCACAGCCTCAACCTGTGGGACTCAGGCGATCCTTCCACCTCAGTCTTCCAAGTGACTGGAACTACAGGCATGTGCCACCATGCCTGGCTCATTTCTTGATTTATTGTAGAGATGAGTTCTCACCAACTTTCCCAGGCTAGTCTTGAACCCCCAGACTCAGGCAGTCCTCTCACCTCACCCTCACAGACTGCTGGGATTACAGGCTGAGCCACTACACCTGGCCAAGATGCATCTTATTGAAGTCATTGACATTTGGGTCTCTTTGTTTCAGCAGCTCAGCATATCCTAATAAACTTTCTCTTAGTCTCTTTCTTGATCTGTGATAGATCCTCATTTTGAGAGGTCAGTACGCACACGTGCATGCACACACACCCCCATAAATATGTGCTTACATTCATACTGTATACCTCTAATCTTTATCTCTAAAGGTAGATATAGATACAGGTATAGTTGTCTTTTTTTTTTGAGTTGGAGTCTCACTCTGTCGCCCAGACTGGAGTGCATTGGCTGCTCCCGGCCACCGCAGCCTCGACCTGCTGGGCTCCGGCGATCCTTCCGCCTCAGCCTTCCGAGTAGCCGGAATTACAGGCGTGCGCTACCACGCCCGGCTGATTTTTTGATTTATTGTAGAGATGAGGTCTCGCTTCCCAGGCGGGTCTTGAACTCGCGGGCTCAGGCAATCCACTCACCTCAGCCTCCCAAAGGCGCGGGATTACAGGCTGAGCCACCGAGCCCGGCTTGTAGTTGTCTTTTGAGGTATAAGCATATTCAAGTCCCACAGTGAGTCCTCCGGAACTCATGAAAAGTTGGGCCTCCTTATATGAAGGCTTAACATTTTCCAAATAATGTGTTTTCAATACATGTTTGGTTTTTAAAAAGCCAAGTATAAGTGGACTCCTGCAGCTCAAACCTGTTTTGTTCAAGGGTCAACAGTGTGTGTGTGTGTGTGTGTGTGTGTGTGTGTGTGTGTGTGTGTGTATGCTATATATATAGTGATATCTCTATAGTGAGATATATAGTAAGATACACACCATAGTTATATATAATATAAAAAAATACAATATTATAAACTGATATTATATAGTAATAATATTACATATTTATATATAATATATACACTCTCCCCTAAATCTACTACTTGCCAATCTGGGCTTTGTAGGTATTTGTTACCTGGCTAGGGTCCAGAGATCAGCCTCCACTCACCTCTTTCTTGCCTTGGGTTGTCTTCAAGGTGGTGACATCTGAAAAAGACATCATGAGAGAGTTAGCACTGGAACCGAGAGTGACCAGGTGGAGGGTGGGCAGGTGAGGTGGATAGCTTTGCACCTAGAAGCTCTGAACTCATACTCTTTATGTTCACTGACAAGGGTGCTTGTCTATTTGGGGGATCAGAGTCTGAGCTCCTTATTGTGATATAGAGAAATGTTTTTCTGCTGGAAGGGATTCCCCCTCCACCAGGTGGCATTGGCAATGTCTAGAGACATTCTTGACAGTAGCAACTTGAGTGAGGGGATACTCTTGGTGTCTAAGTGGGTAGAGGCTCAGATGCTGCTCAAAGACCTAATATGCCTTATCTATGTTATAATGTCATATTACAGATACTGTTTGGTCGTGGTGGCTCACCCCTGTAATCCCAGCACTTTGGGAGGCCACAGCAAGGGAATAGCCTGAGCCCAGGAATTTGAGATCAGCCTAGACAACATAATAAGACCTTGCTCGCTAAAAAACAAAACAAAACAAACCTACCTCCTCATGCCACATATAATATGCATATATACACCTTACCCTCAATAAATGCTGTATCAATTAATGTGGGAAAAATATCTCCTGCTTAAGCTAGAGATTTCTTCCGTGGGAAAACTCAGGTACTTCTTTAATACCAAGAGCATTTTTTTCACCAGTGGGAAGAACTCCATCAGGATTCAAGTCCACATTCCCATATCTCTCCATATCCCAAGCTGGAGTCCACATACCAGAGGCTGGGGTTGCCTGAGCTCTAAATGTGAGACTGGGGTCTGGGAGGGAAGGTACAAAGGCAGCCTCCACCACAAAGAATGATCAGACTCCTAATATCAGTTTTGTGGTGGAGATACTCTGGCAGAGAGGAAGCAGAAAAGTGTGAGCTCCAAATTCTTCAATTCAATCTTGGCAGGAGATTATAATGGACATGGCCAAAACCCAGAAAATTAGAAGCGTCATGCTTTGAACTCAACCTGGGTGGGAATTATAATCAAAAGAGGAGCATCGGTTTTTGGTTACCAGTTGTTTAAGTATAATTTGTGTTGTCTCCTGTGCTTTGTGAAGATAACCATCTCTATATTATTTTTACTTATTTTTCTATTTTTGGGGGAGGTAGAAATGGGGTCTTGTTAAGCTGCCCAGGCTGGTCCCAAACTTCTGACCCCAAGTGATCCTCCTGCCTTGGCCTCCCAGAGTGCTGGGATTATAGGCATGAGACACCATGCCTGGCACCATCTCTATTTTAGAAAGACGAGGAAATTACATACCTGTTATCATTAGACTGAGCTTAAATCTATCCCTACCCTGTATCTTGGTTTTCAGCTGACTCTATTTGCTGAAAAAAGGGCAAAGAGTTTTGCCTTAAGAGTACAACAGCACTGTGCTTGGTGACTCATGCCTATAATCCCAGCAATTTGGGAGGCCGAGGCGAGAGAATTGCCTGAGCCCATGCATTTGAGACCAGCCTGGGCAACATGGCGAGACCTCATCTCTACAATAAATAAAAAAAATTAGCCGGGCATGGTGATGCGTGCCTGTAGTTCCAGCTACTTGGAAGGCTGAGGCAGAAAGAAACGCCTGAACCCAGCAGGTGGGGTTGTGGGGGTTGGGAGCGTGCCACTGCCTCCAGCCTCCAGCCTGGGTGACAGAGTAAGACTCCAACTTAAAAAAAAAAAAAAAAAAAAAAAAAGAATGCAACAGCTTTGATTTACAATCCTGAGTCTAGAATACATTTGCCATAGGAAACTGCATTTGTTGTAGAAAATAGCCTGTATGGCTGAAAGTTGCAATTTTGTCTTGGGAGGTTGGTCCTGCCTTGGGACCAATGGGAATAATAACCTTGGGAATAATGAACCTCCAACAGCCTTGATGAAAGGACTACGCAGAGCTCTTAAAATTGGGAAACCAACCAAGGGCATTTTCCTTTTTCTTTTTTTTTTTTTTGGCAAAGTAAGGTGAGTTTAACAGGTTAACATCAGAACCCAGGTAGAATCTGTCTGTTTGTACTTGTCAGCCGAGGTGTCTATTGCCTACTAAAACACTGATTCACTTTGAGCTTAATCTCATTCATTTATTCATTCTACAACTATTTAGTAAATGCCTAAGCTAGCAACAGGGGACACAGAAAGGTTAGATTTATGGTTCTGCAACCTCTTTCCCCCGTTTTCTTTTGGCTTCCCCACCTGGACCTCAGACTCACAGAACTTACATAGCCCTAGACCCTGGTGTGGACTCCAGCTTGGAATCTGGGGAGATATGGGAACGTGGACTTGAATCCTGCTGGAGTTCCTCCCACTGGTGGAAAAAATACCTTAATATCAAAGGGGTACCTTTGAACTTTCCCACAGTCTTTCTAGTGTAAGCAGGAGGTTTTTCTTCTGCACATTAATTCATTCAGCATTTACTGAGGGTCTATGATATAATGTCAGAATGCAGTGTCTATAGGGTGGCATCATCATGTAGCTTAGATATACTTGGTCTTTCAAGTATATAACAACATAAATGAACATTTTTTGCAATAGTATAAAATAATGTGTTATAAATGGTAATACAAGTTTTTACAAAGCAAAAAGTTTATAATTTCTAATTTGTGAATAACACCGTAATCTGTTCATCAAAATGAACGACAGAAGGGAGCCGAAAAAGGGAACAGAAAAAAAATGAGAGAACATGAGGCACAAATTAAGGACATTTCATTTCTTTCTTTGAATCGGGGTCTCACTCTGTCACCAGGCTGGAGTACAGTGGCACGAGCAGGGCTCACTGCAGCCTTGAACTCCTGGGCTCAAGCTATTGTCCTGCCTCAGCCTCCCAAGTAGCTGGGACTATAGGTATGCACCACCACGCCTGGCAAATTTTAAAAATTTTCTGTAGAGACGAGGTCCTGTTAAGTTGCCCAGGTTGGTCTTGAACTCCTGGGCTCAAGCAATCTTCCTGCCTCGGCCTCCCAAAGGGTTAGGATTACAGGCGTGAGCCACCATGCCTGGCCGGAAGTTTCATTTCTTGAAGAAAACTTGGAAAGAAGGGAAGGAAATGATCCTTTCACTAACCTATATTATATTTAAATTAAGTAACAGGGGGATGTCCTTTAACATGACCATATATAAACAACACCGGTTGAAATGGATTATCTCTACTTTCACTTGCATTTGTAAGCAATTCTCAGGAAACAATGGCTGCCGTTCACTGCCAGTCTGCCCTTAGAATTCCCACTTTTTTTGTTGTTTATTTGTTTTTTTGTTTGTTTTGAGTTGGAGTCTCACTCTGTTGCCCAGACTGGAGTGCAGTAGCTGCTCCCAGCCACCGCAGCCTCGACCTGCTGGACTCCGGCAATCCTTCTGCCTCAGCCGTCCAAGTAGCTGGAACTACAGGTGCGCGCTAACATACCCGGCTAATTTTTGATTTATTGTAGAGATGAGGTCTCGCCAAGTTGCCCAGGCGGGTCTCGAACCCTCGGGCTCAGGCAATCCACTCACCTCAGCCTCCCAAAGGCATGGGATTACAGGCTGAGCCACCGAGCCCGGCAAGAATTCCCACTTTTAAAAAAAAAGGCTATTTTGTTTCACAAAGAGTTCTATTTGCCAGGATCTCCTGCTCTCTGGCTTCCTGATAGGAAAGCATGGGTAGGCTACTGAAAAACAGAAGGAGGTAGAAGCCAGGGTATTTCTGTGTCTCTCTCTGCTTCCTGTGGCACTGGCCACATCTCTTCCATTCCTACAATACTCAGTAGATGAGCCCAGCACTTGGGTTTTGGTGACACCATTTTCTCCCCATCCATCTAGGCAGATTTCTGCTATTGTTAATCTTTGGGGGTGCGTCTCCGTCTCCTTGTTGACATCTCAGTTCTTCCTTCATCAGTGCCAATTCCTCGTATGAAATGCCTTCTGTATAAAAGACCGAGTGTGGTTTTAGGCCAGGTGTGGTGGTTCACCCCTGTAATTCCAGCACTTTAGGAGGCCGAGGCAGGAGGACTGCTTGAGCCCAGGAGTTCGAGGTCAGCCTGGGCAACATAATAAGACCCTGTCTCTACCAAAAAAAAAAAAAAAAATAGCTGGACTTGGTGATGCTCATCTGTAGTCCCAGCTTCTTGGGAGGCTGAGGCAGAAGGATCACCTGAGCCCAGGAGAACAAGGCTGCAGTAGCCTTGATTGTTCTGCTGCACTCTAGCCTGGGTGACCAAGTGAGACTCTGACTCAAAAACAAACAAACAAATAAGCAAACAAACAAACCCACCTAGTGTGGGTTCTGGGTTGAATCTGAACTGATAAAGAGGGACAATTAATTATTATTTTTAAACCAGAAAAGAAATGCTGTGTCCCTTTTATGGCCTCTCTTAAACTCATGTTGCAGTGTGGCAAGTGATTAAAGAATGTGGACTCTTTTTTTTTGAATATACTATGTTATTTTATTCAATATGTTTAACATCAACATAAACTTGTGAAGCTCATCAAGAAGGCAGGACAGACATTATTATTACCATTTCACAGATAAGGATACTAAGCTTTGAGAAAGGCTTTTCTGTGATGGCACAGCTACTGGGTGACAGTGCTTTTCTCTAATCAAGAGCTCTTGTCTTGCTGCTACTTTCCTTCTCGGAGACACACACTATAATTTTGATTTAGAACTTCATGGACTTATAATTTTGATTTTCTATATTATTCAGCCATCATTACCCTACAAATGCTTTTTGAAAAATTTAAAGTAACCCTTCCTTATGTGTCTGTCCATGCCCTACAGTGTGAAAAGGCAGGTAGGTGGTATATTCTCTGGAGAGAAAGGATACGTTTTGCTTTATCCACAAGGTCTGTCTTTCCATTGTTCTTAGTTAACAATTTATATCCTTTAGGGTTAAAGCTAAAGTCTGGTTTCCTAGGCCTCCAAAGCATTATAGACGTCTCATGGAAGTGATGTTGTACTAGTGACAGAATTCTAAATCTGGCTGTGAAATGCCCATTGCATTTGGAACCAGAATGTGGACTCAAGACAGGCTGAGCCGAGTTAAAAACTCAGCTGGCTAACAAGTCACTTAACTTCTCAATGCCTCGGTTTCTTTGTCTATAATAAAAGTGCTTATCTCATGGGATTATTGTAAATGAAATAATGCATGTAAAGCACTTAGTATAGTACCTGGGACTACAGGTAAAATGAATATTTAGTATTAATTAAATAGGCAAAGTGGGGACCAAAGGGAGGCCCAAACTTTTCCTGTACAATGACCACTTGTATACCTAATCCTGAATTGTACTTCACATCTTTAAAATAAAAAATAAAATTAAATTAAAAAAATAAACCAATAAAAAGTATTAATTAATATTATTTTTTCATCTAATCAGTTTCCTCTCGAGCAGCTGGGACTTACAAGCACGTGCCACCATGCGTGTGTAGAGGTGGGGTCTTGCTATGTTGCCCAGGCTGGTCTTGAACTCCTGGGCTCAAGCAGTCCTCCTACCTTGGCCTCCCAAAGTGCTGGGATAAAAGGTGTGAGCCACTGTGCCCAGCTGAATTTAACTTTAAAGTTTCTCTCTTATATTCCGAACAGTAGCCAATGCATCTTGGGTGGTCTGCCATGCTCGATACCTTTTCTACATATAGACTTTCCCCATCGATGTGGTTTCTATGGAATTAGTCATATTTATATGACATGAGGCTTCTCCCTGAACATAGATCCAAGAGGTGGGCACACAACTCAAACTGAGCCAATTTGCCCATCCCCAAAGAATTTGCAATCGGGTCAAAGAGAGAGTTGGTTAATCTCTCTTTGGTCGATTGGAGCAATAACCATGATAAGATCTGGAGCTGTTGGCGGCCATATTTTCTGTCCTGGGGTCTAAGAAACAGAGAAAACCAGTCTGCAGTGAAGGAGAAGAGGGGCACAAAACCAAAGAGCATCAGAGACTGGGAATAGAAAATACACCCTGATGGTGTTGAGTCCCAGTTCCAGTCAGTCCCAGAAGCCCAGTTGCATGCATGTCTTTGCGCTCCAAGGTTCATCCATGCATCTTTATCGCAAACCCATCTTTTCTGCTTAAGTTAGCTGAGCGAGTTTCTCTTCCTCCCAATTCAAAGAATCATGTCTCAATCATCACCTTATCACTTCCTTCATCTCCAAACCACACTTGCTTTCCTCATCCCGTTATTTCCTTGAACTTGAACTTCCTTCTCTCCTTTGTTCTCTTCTTTCTAATTCCCTCTAGAAAATAGAAAGGTACCCGGCTCCCCACAAGGACAACTTTTCTGGTGTTACACTGAATGAAAAATGAAGAAAGGGGGCAAGAGGACAAAAATTTGCTTACTCTGACAAGTGTTCTCGTTGGAATTCTGGAATTGTGCCGCCCCGGAGAGGAGTTTATATCCCGGGACACAGTGGCAGTAGAAACTTCCTTCGACATTCTGACACTCAGCATTTACTCCACAATATATGCTAAAGGGTGGTTTACACTCATTAATATCTGAAACACAAAGGAGCCGTGTAGTATTTTTATTTTAGAGTTGAGAAATTAGTACCTAAGTAGGTTGCATGCATAAGTCTAAATGACCCTCTCCCCCCCTGAGAGCAGACCAAGTACCCAGTGTGTTGCCACATTACCCCCTCCCTCTTACCTTCCACTCTCCCTCCTTCCCTCCCCTGGCAGGGCCCAGGGTCACTGATCCCAGCCTTGTGCTCACGTGACCAGTGATCAGGCCCCGCTTATGAGTGAGAACGTGTGGTATTCGTTCTCAAAGGAGAAATTTCATTCAGCAGAGATTTACCGAGTATCGACTGTGTGTCAGAAGTTGTGCCCTTTCCCCCAGGGTCTGTCCTGGCATTCCAAGACAACCGATCTAGGTAATGGTCGTTTTTGTTTTTTGTTTTTCTTTCTTCATGGACTTTGGTTGGGTTCTCCATGAAGCAGACATTGAAACAAGTTTCAAGTGCAAAGACTTTATTTGGGAGGTGATCCCAGAAAATGTCGAAAGGGAAGCGATGAAATGAGAGCTGGAACCGTGTTGAATAAATGACCAAGAGGACCTCCCTGGACCTCCCTCCGCCTCCCTTTTGCTCCCGCCTCTGGGTGACTTAAAAATTACCCTTTTACCTTTACATGTCTCTGAGGGGGATGTGAATAATTTCTGTCCAGATCCAGAAGCATATCCAGCATTGCAGGTACAGTAAGTGTCACGGGAGCAGTATGCATTTGGGGGGCACGGAGGACAGGCAGCTGCAGGGGGAGGAGAGGCAGGTAAAATGTCACCAGGGTCACAGTTATCACTGGGCCTTGCCTCTGGGCAGGATCTCTCAAGTCTGAGGAGATCTGCACCTTTTCCTCTGATGAGATCTCGGTAAATCTGAAAAACAAGAGACATCAAACCCAAATCACAGAAAAAAGTGGGTTTCCTGTGTGTGATGAAGGACTGAAGTTATGTTAAACAGATTAATTCTACCAAAAAAATTTTGAATGCAATATAACCATGGTATTCTAAAGATTACTGAAGGCCAGGCCTGGTGGCTCACACATTTAATCCTGGTGCTTTGAGAGGCCAAGGCAAGAAGATTGCTTTAGCCCAGGAGCTCAAGTTTACAGCCAGTTATGATCACACCACTGAACTCCAGCCTGGGTGAAAGCATGAGAACAAGTCTCTAAAAACAAAGACAAAATGAAGATCATTGAATTTACAAAAAGGGAGTTAAGACCTTGGGCCCTGGAACTAACCCAGAGTACTATGCAGAGACTTGATACTAGCTGTGTGTCCTTGGGCTAGTGTCTTAACCTCTCTGTCCCTCAATTCCCTCACCTGTAAAATGGGTTATTGTGGGGATCAAGTGAATTAACAGATATAAAAAGTGCTCTGGCAGTGTTTGGCATGCTTATTGGCATGCTATGATTATACAAATTTGAATTTGTAGATTACTACAGGAGGTAGGTTCTGACAGTAGTACGTGTTAAGGTATTTTCTCAGGTTTTATTATTTATTATAAAATATAAATTCATAGAACTGAAAAAAACAAAACAAACAATAAGTCTCTTTATCACCCCAGATTCTAGGCTGTCAACTGCTTATTTTATATTTCTCCAGAGAATTCCAATGCATAGGCACATATATGGGTATCTTTTTTCTTTATATTATAAGAACACATTGCACACACTGCTCTGTTCTTTAATTTTCATGTAAAGTTTTGGAGATTTTTCCACAGCTTCACATGAGAGCAGGCACATGATTTAAACATGCATCACGGTATTCCATCTTGGAGATGAACAGCCCCGATAGGCTACTGCAACAAGGGTGCAATTGACAACCTTGCATGAAAGCCTTTGTACAATTTGGAATTTTATTTTATTAAAAACATTTTTTAAAAGAGACTGTCTCACTCTGTTGCCCAGGGTAGAGTGCAGTGGTGCAATCATAGCTCACTGCAGCCTCGAACTCCTGAACTCAAGTAGATTGTCCTGTCTTAATCTCCTGAGTACCTGGGACTATAGGTATGTGCCACCATAAGTGAAATATATATATTTAGAGGTGGGTCCTTGCTGTGTTGCCCCAGCTGGTCTTGGATTCCTGGCTCTGGCAATCCTCCCACCTCAGCCTCCCGAAGCACTGGCCTTCATTCAGATACATCAAAGAAAGGTCTTACTCTTGGGCCCCTTAGAAATGAATGAAACCGAAAGGTCTTACTTTGAGGCCCCATGGGAATTAATGGAGCTGGGGTTGGAGTCTAATGCATCTGGAAGTTGTATAGGGCCCTTGGCGGGGTGAGGGGTTGAGGAACACAATGGGGGGTACTCTGCAGAGACTTGATACTCAACTGATAGCAGTTTGGCTAGAAGTGCAGGCTCTCAAGTCTTGCTACATTGCCATGAATGTTGTCACAGGGGTGTCAGTAGGGTCTGCCCCCATCCTCTGGTACACTGATGTGTCCTATTGTTCATTATTTGTTGACTTGATTGTGATAAGAATGGTAATGATGATCATTGCTTTGTCTCTCCCTATGAAAATGCTTACTTCCTGAATTGCATGTTTTATTTACTCCTCTGTCTCTACTTTGTGCTCATTGTGGTTAGCAAAAACATGCAGACAAATTAAAAAAATCAAAGATATTCATATTTGATGTAATGATCAATTAAGCAAACAAAACACACAAGAACAAGCCTTCCCTAGTACTGCTCCCAGAATGTGCACTTTTCTTTCGCCCATTAGATGGTTCAGGTCTAGATTTGCTCTGTACCCTCTTTATTCTGGCTCTGAGCACTCACCTTTGGCCTCCTGAACTATAGATCCAGACAAGCTCAGCAGAAAGCAGAGTCCTGGAACAGAAGGGAAGGAGAAGGGAGAGACATGAAACAACTGAGGAAGGATTCCAGAACATTCCTCAAGGGATATGTATCAGTTATCTATTGCCATGTAACAAATCATCACAAAGATGTAGTGGCTTAAAACAACACGTTTGTTTTGTGATCTCTCTTAGTTTCTGTAGGTCAGGAATCTGTGAAGGGAATTGTAATGACTCTTACATGGCTGGTGTCTGACAGTGGCTGAGGTGGAAACTGTAGCTTCATGTAGTCTCTAGGCCTGGGCCAGTTTGGGCTTCTTTCCAACATGGCGGCCTCAGGCTTCCATGGCCCCTCTAAGTGTGAGAGGTCCAGTTAATGAGGCAGCATTTTTTTTTTTTTTTTGAGTTGGAGTCTCACTCTGTCACCCAGGCTGGAGAGCAGTAGCACAATCTTGGCCACTACAGCCTTAACCTGCTGGGCTCAAGTGATCCTTGCACCTCAGCCTTCCAAGTAGTTGGAACCACAGGCGTGTGCCACCACGCCCGGCTAATTTTCTTATTTATTGTAGAGATGAAGACTCACCAAGTTGCCCAGGCTGCTCTCGAACTTCTGGACTCAGGCAATCTTCTTGCCTCCGCCTCCCAAAGTGTTGGGATTACAGGCTTGAGCCACCACACCTGGCTGGCATCTCTTCTTAACACTCAGCCCTGAAAGTCACTGAGCTCCACTTCCAACATATTCTCTTGATTACAAGCTGACTCAGATTCAAGTGGGGGAAGAATCAAATTCTTCCTCCTTATGGGAGACCAGCAAGATGCTAGAAACTAATCTTGAATGGGAGATATTAGTTTCACCTTTTTGGGAAAATACACCACCCAGGCTAGCTCTCCTGTGGCTGGGAAGTTTCCCTTGTTCTTCCCCAAGCCTTCCCAACATCTGGTGGTGTCACCAGCCATGTTCCTGCTTTTACAGACACCTGAAGATGTTGGATAAATGAATGGCTTTTCTGCTCTTTCTTTCCTACCAAGTCTTACATCTCTCTGATCACTTGTTCCCTTCCTACCTTCTTTTTATTCTCTTATGGTTTCTGTGGTTCAGGAATCTGGGAAGGACTCAGCTGGGTGGTTTTGGAATACTTATTTCTAAAATTATTTACCATTTGCAAGGATGATATTAAAAACATTTAACAGCTGGTAGCGTACAAGAATTGACCAGAGTAAGCCCTGAGACTCTGTAATGCACCAGGCATTAACCTTTTAGCTGCTGAATTGTGAGGAGACCCGGGGTCCCAGAGCAGAGTCTGGGCTGGCAGGAGTGTTACAAAAGCTGGTTCTGGGCAATGGTTATATTTATAAAAGTTGTAAAAATATTTCGGCATGAACAATCCACATGATCTTCTGGTATGCACTGACCGAAATTTGGCTCTGGTGACTCGTAATCTTATTTGCAACTTTGGTTAACCCCTGAGAAGGTGGGTCCTGGACACGGAAGAGTTTCTGTCTACCAAGTGGGGTGATGAGTGTGGAGGAGAGAGGACTAGTTTGGTGGAGCTAGAGGGAAGACGGATTCCTGTGCATGATAAAGGACTGGGGTTGTAGGGATTGAGGGAAGGCCTAAGGCTGAAAGTCTGTTGTAGTTGGGGGAGGGGCATTGTGGCTGCCTGGGGGAGGTTCAGCAGGGAGGAACCCTGGTAGCTGGTGCCTGTGAAGTGAGAGTAGGAGGAGATGGGAGGGTTTTTTTGGAGCAAAATGCAGCATGTGCTACAATGCAAACACCCTTCCATCCTGCCTGTGAGTGAGCCAGTAAAGTTTACTTTGTTCACTAATGTCTTTTTTTTTAAGGCAGGGTCTTGCTCAGTCACCCAGATGAGATCATAGCTCACGATAGGCTCAAACTCCTGGGCTCAAGCTATCCTCTCAGCCTCCCGAATAGCTGGGACTACAGGTGTGTGCCACCATGCCTGGCTAATTAAAAACAATTTTTAAAATGGATATCATACAGTCATAATTTTTTGTTTTTTGGTAGAGACAGGGTCTCACTATGTTGCCCAGACTGGTCTTAAACTCCTGGCCTCAAGCGATCCTCCTGCTTCAGTCTCCCAAAATACTGGAATTACAGGCATGAACCACTATACTCAGTCCACTAATGTCTTTTTTTCAATTTTTAAATTATGGCAAAATGCACATAACATGAAATTTACCATCTTGACCATTTTAAAGTGTACAGTTTGCTGGAATTCAATACATTCATAATGTTGTGTGGAAGGACAGAGCCCAAAATGAGTTTCTCTGGTCTCCTTGAACTCATACATGATAATAATCCTTTCCAGGAACCCTGGGCCAGTCACAAGACGTTGAGATGGACATCTTCGACCTAAGAATTTGTCTTTCAGCTGCTGGCCCTGCCCCTCTATATGACTGACCCACCCTTCCAGCTGCTAGTCCCGCTTTGTCTATGTGCTTATGACTGACCAGCCATCCCTCCGCTGTCAGAGATGTGAGAAAAGACCCCATGCCGTCGGTACCTGTGAATGCCTGCCTGCCTCCTCCCCCCCCCAAAAAAACTTTAAAAGCTTTTAACCTCAAGCATTCGCTGCCAAATGTTTCTTCAGCATCTGGCCCCCTCTCCAGCTCCCTTTTTCTCTGATCTACTTTCTAAATTAACTCTTTTCTAATCTAATCTCTGTGCAATTCTTTCATACCCACAGCACGGGCTCAGTCCACCAACCTAACATTGTGCAGCCATTTCTGTCATACTTTCTGCTTATAAAATGCAAACTCTATGCCCATTAAACACTCACTCTGAATTGCTCATTAATGTCTTGGAGAGAGAATGTCCTGGGTGGGGGAAATGGGAAAGTTCTAAGCTCTACCTCTGTAACGTCTAAGAGAAAGTGAGCTCTTGCTTCATGCCAGGCCCTTGATGCACATGAACGTACTTCAGGTTTGCAACAACTTCAGCAGGTAGGTGCGATTAGCATAAGCCCCGTGGGGGAGCGCGAGGCCTGATTAGGCCAGTATCAATCAGGTAAACGGGGTAAACCATTTTGAGGCAGTAAGTCTCAGAATGAGATTACAAGAATTGTAAAATCTGAAGAGCCAGCTGAAAAAAACGTTTCCTTTTTGTTCCAAAGTCCACAAAGAAAGTAGTTTACAGCAGGTTCCTGGTTCCTCACAAACAAAAAGGGAGTCAACTATTGCTGTTTAACAGACAGAACTCTAGCACTATTCACAAAAACAAAAACATGGAACCAACCGTGCTGCCCATCGAAACTGGACTGGATTAAAAAAATGTGTTACATATACATGATGGAATATTACGCAGCCATAAAGAAGGACAAACATATGGATTCTGCAGCAACTTGGATGGATTTAGAGCCTATCATACTCAGTGATCTATCACAGAAACAAAGAACAGAGTACCATATGTTCTAATTCATAAGTGGACCCTGAACATTTACCATAATACTTTAAGAAAGGGATTGGCGGCCAGGCATGTTGGCTCGTGCCTATAATCCCAGCACTTTGAGAGACTGAGATGAGAGGACTGCCTGAGTCCACAGGTTTGAGACCAGCCTGGGCAACTTGGCAAGACCTCATCTCTACAATAAATTGAAAAATTAACCAGGCATGGAGGCATACACCTGTAGTCCCAGCTACTTGGAGGGCTGAGGCAGAAGGATCACCTGGGCCCAGCAGGTCGAGGCTGCAGTGGCTGTGAGCGTGCCACTGCCTTCCAGTCTGGGCAACAGAGTGAGACTTCAACGAAAAAAAGAAAAGAAAAGAAAAGAAAGGGATTGGTAGTAATGGGATACTGACTGGGTCGGGGGGAGAACACAACATCAATAAATGTTCCTGACCTCAAACCAGGCAAAGTGGGAATCAAAGGGAGGCCCAAACTTTACCTGTACGATGTCCACTTGTATACCTAATCCTGAATTGTACCCCACATCTTTAAAAGAAAAGAAAAGACAAGAAAAGAAAGGAAAAGAAAAGAAAGAAGACAGAACTCTACAATCAAACAGTTGCTTTGCAAACCTCGAACAATGCAGGTGGTCAATTTGCAGAACTTCTCCATGCTCCCCTGCACCCCCCCAACCCCTCCCCCCATAGGCAATTCCTGCCCACATGGAATGCCCCACACTGAATCCTGATACAGTAGTATAAGTATCTTTATCTAGCCCTTGCCTCTTTGCAGACACTCTGCTGGCCTGCCTGTTGTTCCCTTCACTAAGTATCTTCCCTTCAATAAACCTACCTTTCTTAATTCATAACTATCTTGGTGAATACTTTCACCCCCTGTGACTCTGGCCATACCCAGCCTGCCACACATGGCAACCTCCATTTTACAGATTAAGAAACGGAGGCACAGAGAAGTTAAGTAACTTTCTCCACTCACCAGAGCTACTTGGCAGCAAAGGTGAGATTAAACCCGGGTTCTGGATTCTGGTTGTGAACTCATCACACGACACAGCCTCTCTTTCAGAAATCCCACACGGTGCTGCGTGTGAGGAGGTGCTTGTTCAGATTGTAGACACTGTGGACTGGCTGAGAAAGGACTGCCCTTCTCCCCAGCAGACGCCACTCACCAGATGTGACTGGTTTCTCAAAGACCAGTAGAGGGTGATATGTGACTTGGTCATGTAGCGCCGTCTAGACCAATTGCAGGATCTGGGAGAAAGTGCCCTGGGGGCTAGCTGTGATCCTTCAAGAGTGGGAGAGCCATGAGCGGTAGCTCACACCTGCAATCCCAGCACTTCAGGAGGCCAAAGTGAGAGGATTACTTGAGCCCAGGAGCTCAAGACCAGCCTGGGCAACACAGTGAGACTCCATTTCTACAAAAAACTTAAAAAATGACTCAGGTTTAGTGGCATGGACCGTAGTCCCAGCTACTTGGGAGACTGAGGCAGAAGGATTGCCTGAGCCCAGGAGGTAGAGGCTGCAGTGAGCCTAGATTATACAACTGCATTCCAGCCTGGGCAATAGAGTGAGACCTTGAAGCTCAAAAAAAAAAAAAAAAAAAAGGGGGAGAGAGGCAACACTAAAGACCCCTCCTATCATATAAATTTCCAATTGCTGCTATCACAAATTACCATAAGTAATAGTGGCTTAAAGCAACACCAATTTATTTGCCTATAGTTCTGGTGTCCAGGAGTCTGAAATCAGTCTCTCTAGCCTAAAGAGCAAGCATGCTGGCAGGGTGGGCTACTTTTGAAAGCGTTAGGGGAGAATCTGTTTTCTTGCCTTTTCCAGCTTCCGAAAGGTGCCTGCATTCCTTGGGCCATGGGTTGCTCCTTCATCTTTAAATTCAGAGATATGGCACCTTCTCTCTTTTCTGATCCCTGCCTCTCTCTTAAGGAAACCCCTGTGATGATATTGGGCCCACATGGATCATTCAGGACACTATTCCCATCTCAAGTCCTTAACTTCATCAACATCTGCAAGTCATTTTTTATCACGTAAGGTAACATATTCACATGTTCCAGGGATTAGGACATGGACATCTTTGGAGGGGATATTATTTATCCTCCCATAATCCCACCCTTCCCAGAAGAAGGGGCCAGGTCTGGTTTGTGATCAATTACATAGCACCTGCACTCATGGAGCATTTCACATATTTTTGGTCTTCCAATGAGAATATTCTCATCTGAGATTAATGGCAGGATCTTTGCATTTTCCCTTTAAAAAAATTCCCTCTCAGCCAGTCTTGGTGGTTTATGCCTATAATCCCAGCTACTTGGGAGGCTGAGGTGGGAGGATTGCTTGAGGCCAGGAGTTCAAGGCTGTCCTATGATTGCACCACCATACACTCCAGCCTGAGCAACAAAGCAAGACCCTGTCTCTTAAAAAACAAAAACATTATTCCTCCTACTTTTGTATAATCATCAATGCGTAGCAGCTACACAAACCTTACACCTACCTAAATGATGTCTAGCTCACAGAGCCAACTGCTGACCCATGGGGCTGAATCACGTTCTCCGGTTCCTAAAACTCAGGCAGTCTGGGCACTGTCATGTTCCCTTAAGACTCATCTTCAGCCCTGCCAGCAGCCCTGTACTTGCGAATAGGGGCGAGTGTTGTAAGTTAGAGTTTCTGAAGAGCCAAGAGTATGCTGAAATCCCAGAGTCCTAAGAAACTTTAGAAATTATCTGCTGACTATTTTGTAGATGAAGAAACAGGGTTTATGTGGCCCAAGGGTTTATATGGCTGGGATACTAGTTGGGAAAATTTGTTTAACTTCTCTAAGTTTTCTTATAGGAAACATGGGGAAAGCCAGGCCCCAGGCAGAATCCTGTGGGAGGAACATGATAGCAAAGGTCTGGGGCCAGGTGGCTTGGATTCGAATCCTGGCTCTGCCATTTATTAGCTGTGTGACCTTGTACAAATAAGATAACCTCTCTGTGCCCAGTTTTCTCATCTGTAAGATGGGAATAGTAATAGTATCCACCCCATGAGTCTACTGTGAGGAAGACAATAGTTAATACATGTAAAATGTGTAGTGAGGTCTCAGAAATGATAATGTTGATGATGATTGAGTTAGGTTCTCACTCTGTTGCCCAGTCTGGAATGCAGTGGCATGATCATGGCTCACTGCAGCCTTGTCCTCCTGGGCTCTGGTGATCCTCCCGTCTCAACCTCCTGAGTAGCTGGGACTACAGACAAGCACCACCGTGCTCTGCTAATTCTCCTCAAAGACAGAGTCTTCCTATGTTTTCTAGGCTGGTCTTGAACTCCTGAGCTTAAGTGATCTTCCTACCTCAGACTCCCAAAGTGCTGAGATTACAGGCATGAGTCAGTCAACATGTCCAGCCCATTGTTTTATTTGTAAATGCATGGGGTGCAAGTGTAACTGTGTTACATGTAGAGTGCATAGCCATAAAGTCAGGACTTTTACAGTAGCCACCACGCAAATAACGTACATTGCACCCATTGCATAATTTCTCATCATCCATCTCCTTCACCCTTCCGAGTCTTTCTTGTTTATCATTCCACACTCTGCACCCTCGTCTACACATTGTTTAGCTCCCATGTGCATGTGAGAACATGGGGTATTCGTCTTTCTGTGTCTGGCTTGTTTGATTTAATATAATGGCCTCTAGTTCCATTCATGTTATCATTACTATCAATTTTCTTGGCAGAGGACAAGGAAAAAGGAGGGGGAAGAGGGACTTGCAAGAGAGACAGGAAAAATATCAGTGCAGTGACAGGCGACAGAGGTGACCAAGGAGGAGAGGGTATCAATGAGAAAACTCGTGAAGTGGAAGATGAACAACCTGTTGAACTGGACCATGAAGGATGTTTTAGGGATATTTGAGAACTCACTGGATTCTTAGCCTAGGAACCTCTTGAATGGCAACTCTGGGCACAGCTCCTAACACCATCACAGCTAGGGGTGCAGATGTGCTACCATACATATAAACAAAGTGTTTGGCATGAGCAGTGCAACTTTTATTTCCAAAATCCACAAGAACAACTTAATTGAACTACATCCTATGTCCCTTTGGTCAATTGTTGTTGTTGTTTTTTGAGTTGGAGTCTTACTCCATGGCCCAGACTGGAGTGTAGTGACACACTCATGGCCACCCCAGTGTCGACCTGCTGGGCTCTGGTGATCCTTCTGTCTCAGCCGTCCAAGTAGCTGGAACTACAGGTGAGCACTACCATGCTCGGCTAACTTTTCCATTTCTTATAGAGATGAGGTCTCACCAAGTTCCCTGGGCTGGTCTTGAACCGGCAGGCTCAGGCAGTCCTCTCACCTCGGCCTCCCAAAGTGCTGGGGTTACAGGCTGAGCCACCGAGTCCAACCTGGTCAATTTTTTTTTTAAAGTCAGGGTTTCACTCTGTCGCCCAGGCTAAGGGCAGTGCCATGATCACAGCTCAGTGCAGCCTCAACCTCCTGGACTCAGGTGAGCATTTTGCCTCAGCCTCCCAAGTAACTAGGACTACAGGCATGCACCCCCATGCTTGGCTAAATTTTTTACTTTTTGTAGAGATGAGTTCTCGCCATGTTGCCTAGGTTAGTCTCGATGTATGGTTCTCTTTGTTTATTTCCCATACCTTTCTAGTCTTTGTTTTCTTTCTTTTTTTTTTTTTTGAGTTGAAGTCTCATTCTGTCACCCAGTCTGGAGTGCAGTGGCACACTCAGCCACTGCAGCCTCAGCCTGCTGGTCTCAGGCGATGCTTCTGCCTCATCCTTCCAAGTAGCTGGAACTACAGGCGCGCGCTGCCATGCCTGGCTAATTTTTTGATATATTGTAGAGACGAGGGCTTATCAAGTTGCCCAGTCTCCCGAACCCCTGGGCTCAGGCAATCCTCTTGCCTTGGCCTCCCAAAGTGCTGGGATTACAGTCTTGAGTCACCATGCCCAGCCAGTATTTGTTTTCTTTTTTTTTTTTTAGTTGTGGGTTTTTCCTAATGACTGCCGATCACCTTAGGGATGACGGAATCAGTTGAATCTAACCCTGGGCTCAAGCAATCCTCCTGCCTCAGCCTCCCAATGTTACAGGTATGAGCCACCGCACCCAGCCGATTCTTGAACACAGTTTGATTTCATTCTCACTTTGGAAGCTATCAGAAATTTCTTTGATGATAAATGATAGGACATTCTTATCAATAGCCAACGGGGTGGTGAGGAAGGAAACCACTGTCCAAAGGAAAAGGAGAGAATGGTCAAAGCAGGGCAGAAGCAAGAGGAGAAGAAGGTAGCTTGTTGCTCAACCAAGCAGGTCCTGACTCGGGGTGGGGTAAGACTCGGTTGTTGTCACGGCCACACATACCTGGAAGAAGCGATGGCTCCCACATTCCTGTGGTGCAGGTAACCCACGCCAGTCAGCTCCCTGCTGTGCTTCAAGCCAATCACTCAAGAAATGTCATGAGCATTGACCTGTACATCTGAGGTCAGCTGACTCAGGAAATTGCCTTAGAAAAACCAGCTTCTTCCCCTCTCTCACTCAGATGTGTGGGAACTTTTTTTTTGCTTATTTCCCCTGCCTTTCTAGTATTTGTTTTTATAAGCTTTTTGTGGTAGTACATTTTCCTATTTACTGCTGATTACCTTTGGGATGACAGAATCAGTTGACTCTAACTTAGACATGCCTATTTATTTATTTATTTGAGAGGAAGTCTCACTCTGTCACTCAGGCTGGAGTGCAGTGGCACCATCACGGCTCACTGCAGCCTCAACCTCCTAGGCTGAGGCGATCCTTTTGCCTCAGTCTCCCAAGTAGCTGGAACTACAGGCGTGTGCTACCACACCTGGCAGATTTTTTGATTTATTGTAGAGATGAGGTCTCGCCAAGTTGCCCAGGTTGGTCTTGAACTCTCAGGCTCAAACAATCCTTCTGTCTTGGCTTCTCAAAGTGCTGGGATTACAGGTGTGAGCCATCATGCCTGGCCAGAAATGCCCTTTAAATCACACTTCACTGCCTGTGGATTGGGAAATGCCTTTGGGTACCAAAATAAATCTGAAATAGCCTCATGGTTTTGAGTTGCGTAAGCAGATTTCAAGGTATCTGTGTTGGTATCTAAAATTTCTAGGCCAGGTGTGGTGGTTCGCACCTGTAATCCCAGCACTTTGGGAGGCCAAGGCAGGAGGATCACTTGAGGCCAGGAGTTTGAGACCCACCTAGGCAACATAGTGAGACCGTGACTCTACAAAAAATAAAAAAAAAAATTAGCTGGGCACGGCGGTGCGTGCTTCTAATC